TGGCCTCAGTCTGCTTTTGGGCAGCGGAGAACTGCTGGGCGAAGTTCTCCACTGTGTCGCCGAACAGGCCGGTCTGGGACACGGGGGCGTTTAGGAAACGTGCCTTGTCCGCCTCGCGCATGTCGGCCAGACACAGCCAGAGATGGCGCTCCTGGACCACCATAGTGGACATCGCACGACTCAGATACCGCGTCGTAACCTTCGTCGCTCGTAACGCGAGGTCCGTCGCGATGCGGAGCTTCGTGAGAACTTCCGGGTCATGATCACCCTCGTGCAAGTTCCTCAGTGCCTTGGCCTGGTGTACTTGCAGCAATGCCGAAGCGTGTAAGGCAGACGCAGCTTCTCCACAGGCCGTGTACGCACTGCCGATCAGAGCTGACGAGTGCCTACAGGCTCGGGAGGGGAGCAACGGTTTGCCCCGCCAAGTGGTAGCGGCATTTGGACACAATTGCATCGCAACAGACCACTTCACCTGGGGAACTCCCGTATACCCCCTCGCTGGACCCCCATCAAGGGTGGTGAGGGAGGATGAACCACGTAGACACGCCCTTGAGTGGATCTAACAGTGATTTCACTCTGACCATCAGTGGAGTCCAGACTGAAGATGCTGGACATTATTACTGTCAGAGTGTACACATCATTAACAGTGATGATGTGTTCACACAGTGATAAAGAGTCACACAAAAACCTCCATCACACTCAAATGAACACAAACTCCACGACACTCACTCACACTGATATGAGACTCAACATCAGCTCTTCTGTTTATCAGCGATGGATAATCGGTTGACTTTCACAAAAACAGCCTCATCATCTCTAAATGTCTATTGATGCATGAAAACTAGGAGTTATTTATAAATAAAAAAGTAAATAAAAACTTAAATTACATTATTCAGGAAATGTATGTATTACAGGGGTGCCATAAGGGTGGGGAAGGTTAGGACGATTCTATGGGCCCGACGATGGAGGGGCCCCCCTCGAGGGGGAAACGCTATTTCTACTGAGAGGAACGAGATCGCGATTTCTACTGAGGGGACCAAACCCCACCCACCCCCCGGAAAGTGGGGGCCCAAGTAAATATGTTGTCCAGGGGGCCCAGAAACCATAGCGGCGCCCCTGATGTATTAATCACATTTTTATTCGATATTTTAAATTTGGGTTTCTAGACGATCATTTATTTCTCAAATTTTTTTAATCATTAAAGCAGCTTTTAAAAGATGTTTTGATGACATGTGACCTCTGGAATGACCTTTGCCCTCTCATGGAGTTCACAGTGACATTTTTCTTGATGCAACTGTCATTTGAATCATCAGAAACCCTGGAGCTTCAGACACATTAATAAATGTTTTGGCTCATAACATGAGAAAAGATCCCAAACACTGTAATGTTTTATGTGCATCATCTGCTGTAACCCATACACAGATTTACATAGAGATGATTTGCATTGCAGCACAAGCTTCAGGAGGTTTTATAGCTCTGTGAGTTTGAACTCTGAGAATCTGAACCAACAGCAACCATGAGCTTCATCACCATCTTCATCTGGATCTTCACTAGCTACTGCTTCACAGGTGAGGAAATAAACATACTCTACTCTAACTGATCATCTGTGTTAGAAATACTGTCTTTCAACAAATACTTAATTCTGAATGTTTATTCATTTTTCTTGATGTAGAATCAGCAGCTGAAGTGACAGTCACTCAGACACCTGCAGTCAAACCTGTTCAACCAGGAGACACAGTTACCATGTCCTGTAAAACCAGCCCTGAAGTTTACCAGGGTTGGAGTTATGAGCCTCTAGCCTGGTACTTACAGAAACCTGGAGAAGCTCCTAAACTCCTGATTTATTGGGCAAACACCCTCCAGTCAGGAACTCCATCTAGATTCAGTGGCAGTGGATCTAACAGTGATTTCACTCTGACCATCAGTGGAGTCCAGACTGAAGATGCTGGACATTATTACTGTCAGAGTGTACATGTCATCAACAGTAATTATGTGTTCAGACAGTGATAAAGAGTGGTACAAAAACCTCCATCAGTCAGAGTCACAGTGATGAACTGATGCTGCAGCTGCTCAAACACTATCACACACTACTGACACACAGAGACCAAACACAGAACTACACATGAGCTCAAAACTGAGTTAGGAGTCAAATCAGCTCTATTAGACTGTGATCTGTCCTGTGACAGACGGGTTTGACTCAATTATGCTCAGAATTAGAGAAAATTGATAGCAAATCAAACAAAAATATTATTTTGATTTTGTTCATTCTACACTAACATCTCATTTTAATGTCATAAAGTCACTGTGCATCACCAGCACAAAAAAAAAAAAGTGTTCTTCAGCAGTTTCTCAAGAAGCTCCTTCATCTCAAGCTGATCATTTTTTACTTATTTCTCATGAGCAGAAATGAAACTGATCCAGTTCAGAGCGTTGAACCGATCAAACAGTGAAACTGTGAGTCAGAAACTTGAAAATCAGATTTGCATTGACAGCTTTAGTGATTCTGATCGTCTCAGAATAGAGCAGCTCCATCTCCAGAGACCATGTTCAAACCCCAAGAGCTTCAGTTCACATTTACTGCTAAACGCAGCTGTTCTCAACTACAACCAATCAAAAGCAGCTGAAAGAAATTTTCATTTTCATTTCATACTGGCAAAGCACTTGTATGTAAATGCATTTATGTGCAGACTAAACACAGTTATCTGCTTGTGTTTACCAAGGATTTGTTGATCAAAAAGAGGGACGGTATTAAAAAAAAAAAGTGTTCTTCAGCAGTTTCTCAAGAAGCTCCTTCATCTCAAGCTGATCATTTTTTACTTATTTCTCATGAGCAGAAATGAAACTGATCCAGTTCAGAGCGTTGAACCGATCAAACAGTGAAACTGTGAGTCAGAAACTTGAAAATCAGATTTGCATTGACAGCTTTAGTGATTCTGATCGTCTCAGAATAGAGCAGCTCCATCTCCAGAGACCATGTTCAAACCCCAAGAGCTTCAGTTCACATTTACTGCTAAACGCAGCTGTTCTCAACTACAACCAATCAAAAGCAGCTGAAAGAAATTTTCATTTTCATTTCATACTGGCAAAGCACTTGTATGTAAATGCATTTATGTGCAGACTAAACACAGTTATCTGCTTGTGTTTACCAAGGATTTGTTGATCAAAAAGAGGGACGGTATTACTAATAAGACTTGGTATAGCAGTAACAAATGAATGATGCACTAAATATGCTTTTCACTGTGTTATTGTGAATATTTTTATTTTATTTTATTATTTTTTCTATCCCAGAGTTGCGGAATCTGGCATCAAGGTGAGAAAAGGAAGAGAAAAAAAAGGAGCCAACAAGTGCTGTGGAAACTGAAAAACCTGGACAACGCAGCAGCATGACTGGGTTCGAGATAAAGAAAGGTGCAAAATTATTCAGAAGGAACCAACAGGGGCTGAAAATTCATGAGTCGGCTGGATGGCACAGGTGTATAAACTCTAAAAAAAAAATTCAGGTTTCAAATGCAGTTTTTGCAGTCATGGCATAAAAGTACAATTTTGTCAGTGAACAGTTAATAAAAGAACAATTGTTTCTACTGTAAGTGTGGAGGACATTTTATGTAAGGAACCTTCTTCCACTATAAAGAACCTTTTGTGGGATGGAAAGGTTCAAAAGATGCTAAAGGTTGTTCATGGAACCATTGATTCCAATAAAAACCTATATTTTTAAGAGTGTAAATTAATTCTAGAATGATGATATGCATGATGCATTTTTAAAATCAAATTTGTGAACCTGAAAATGCATGATTACAAATAAGCATTAGCAGACTATATAATGAAAAACAGATGAACAGTAATTTCAAAAATAAAGTGATGATATGAGGTTTTACAGTGTAAAATAAAATACAAGCCACAATATTACTTGTTTCCCCCTCTACCTCATTCCTCTTTCTTGAGTATTAAGCAAGAGGACTGTCTTCCCACCCAGAAACCTGGCAGCATTTTCTCCTTTATGGGATTTTTAAACCTGTGAAGAAGTTTGACTTCTTTTTTCTTTGAGTCTTCCTCTGTCTCCACGGTGTAGAAGCAGAGCAGACCCGCGGGCTGATCCACATACACCCCTATAGTGCAGCACTGAGGCACGTCTGCCACCCTGCTGTTGATTCCTTTATGCCAGGCTTCATAGCAGGATCCGGCCCAACCCAGACCCCACGACTCCTCGTTCTCCCCGAGGCCACAGGGACCGTCGCCTGCCTTCCTCCCAGCACCCTCACATGCTGCTCCTATAACCACCCAGCCAGAGTACAGCACCTCCCAATAACAGCGCGACGCCCAGACAGACTCCTTACACAGCACCTGACCACACACACAGAGGAATGCGCGTTATTATTTTGGAAATAATGCACGAGAGAGATGAAGGTAGAAACTATTTTGGAAATAATGCATGAGAGAGATGAAGGTAGAAACTCTTTTGGAAATAATGTATGTGTGTTTTTATGCATTCTCAAATGCTGAATCGGCCACAAATATGGCTTCCCAATATGTTTTGTTCATTTTATATATTTTGATGATTGTTGACATTGTATCATCTCACTTAGCTGAAAGACCCTCACTAAATGAATGCACTGTAAATTATTATTGTTATTAATAATATTAAAATAGTAATTTTCAATGCACTCATTTTGTGAAGGTTTTTCTATACTGGCATATATTATTACTTACCAATAAAGAAAAACCTTCACATAATGAATTATTATTATTAGTAGTAGTAGTAGTACATTTTATGGTTGTCGCTCACTATTTTAAAAGTTATTAAAAGTTATTAGTTTAAAATGATAAATGTTAATAATAAAAAAATTGCAATGCATTCATTTTGTGAAAGTTTTATTATGCTGTATATAAATACTTAAATAATAAGTAATTATTAATATTATTATTGTATGCATTATTAGTACATTTATTATACATTATTAGTACATTAGTAAATTTTTATGGTTGTTGCTCACTAAAGTAAAAGTTATTAAATTATTAAATGATCAACTGATTTTCAGAAGTTATGCAAACATTATATAGCCTATATATATATATATATATATATATATATATATATATTGATGGCTGAAATCTGAAAATATTTCCAAATATGTCAATTCATATGGGAAAAAATATGCTTCATCACATAGGCATAAGTAGTAAAACAAGTACTGTAAGTTAATTAAGTAAAACTTGTGCTGGACAAATTATTAATTAAAAACCAATGCACTGTGAATTATAATTATTTTATTATTTATTATTTACAACAATCAACAATTCAGAGTCTTTCACAGATGTCTTTCTGCTAAGTAAGGTGTGTGTGTGTGTGTGTGTGTGTGTGTGTGTGTACCTGAGGGCTGTGGTCAAATCTCTCTGGCCTGTCCAGGTAAGGACACACCTCATCTGTCATGCGGGACACTTTAGCCCCGCCCTCTGTCAACCACAGCACTTTATTGGCAGTTCGTTCGTCCAATGAGATACTGAGCCAGTCTAAGAGGAAAGGAACAGGTAAGTTTACTGATTTAACTAGAGTTTGATTGTCTGTGAGTGTGACTCACATTTGAGCAGCTCCTCTCGGGACGTCGGCTCTGGGATGTTCGGCTCATAAATTGGAAGTTTTTCTGAAGATATGAGAAATATCAGTTTAGATTTAGATTTCGGCATAACGTTAATAATACTTACCATTATCATGCAGACAGAGGTTTAGTTCATCATACCAGCAGGAGTATTTCCGGCTTTGATTTTCCTTCCTGGAAGAAATAAGAAATCAGTAGTTTAATACAGGCCTATATTCTTTCCATTATCTGTTTGTTGTTAGGATGACAAACTGTTTAAATGGTAAATTTTTGGCTGATCTTCCTCATCGCAGTGCTCGTCGATGTCAAAATGATTGAACTAGCCAATAAAATCAAAGTAGGCAGGGTTTACAGCTCACGCAAGCTGAGCGCGAAGCGTCAAACGTTGAGTAAGTAACGTTGAGTAACGTTGGTAAGATGATAGTACTGGCAAAACATTTTATATTTGACAACTGATTTATGATAGAAATGATAAACGACCGACAGTAATATCCAGGGATACAAACGACTCGACTTTGTTCTCAAATATGGCGTTTTGAATTGAAAATGCGGTATCATTTACGTCATTCATGTAATTCTAAAACTAAATGTGACGAGACATGAACGTTTTACATTATTATTTGCAAGTAACTCAAAATTATTATACTTACCAATTAGAATTTCCTTCACTATTCCATTTATTTATGCTTTATAAAAATCAAGGCATGGCTACGGCCTTGTTTGTGCCAATAGATGAACTTTATAAATGGGTATATGACTTCTTGTCAAGTTAAGCTAGTCTGTGTCTCTCTGATATGAGTCTATAGTTAAGCCATTGAGGACACATCTCTGGCAACCGTTTCAGACATGTGGTAATGTATTGTGTGTATGAGTGTGTGTGAATGTAACCCACTGACCCAATAGCAGTGTAAAATGATTTAAAACACTTGTTCAGACTTCTGATAAAGTGGCAGCCTGATATACAGTACAGTCGAACAATACACCCGACCCCAAAACTGATGCATATGCATTTGGATAATTAACATCATGCTTCAGTTTAATTATCCAGCATGTTATTGTACTCCCTGTTGCATTGACATTCTTGACACATTTGCTATAATTAAATGGCATGCATTGATTTGATCATGAATAAGTGTGACATAGGGCTGTGCGATATTGAATAAAAATGCGATATGCGATAACTCATTAAATAATGCAATCTTCGATATGCAACTGTTCCTTGTTACTTAGATTTATTGTGAACCAGAGTTATTTTAGAGTCACTGATACTCTTATACATTTTATGCATAAACTATTAAATTTTTTGTAGAAATTGCTAGTATTTCACAAATAATGACGAAGAAATTAAACGTGATAATTGCATTAAATTGAACACGACATTTTGAAGCGTGAAACTAGAAAGACTGAAGTAGTATTTTCTCTTAAAACTTACACTCCAGCAATCTTTGTTTTATTTACAGCTTTGTAGTTTTTAGTATTTTCGATAAGATTTTACTTTCCTATTTTCTATTTTCATTTGATTAAGTTTGAGTTTTTAGTGTTAGTTTATAGTTGTTTTAGTACTTAAACTTCATGAAAATTAGAAATGTTGGCAACTAACTGAAATAAAATAGT